ACAGCCTTGGTTTCAGTTTTTTTTCACCCATCCTTGTTTAGTCTCAATTTGCTCTGGGACCCACACGGTTGTATTTCCAGCTGTCAGTCACATCTGCAAAGTTCTCCTCCAGCACTACATTTCTGATGGATCAGATTTCTTTTTTCCCCTTACCAGGCTACTCGGTGTAACAACTTATTACATTTCAAGCCCCTCTTTCTACAAACAAGCTCAATTTGGCGTTCTTCTGGGGTTATTCATTCAGTCCATTTTATCCTTGTAACAACACCCCTGAGAGGTAGGGCTGTTTGAAAGACAGTCGCTGGCCCTGGGTTCCCCCGACAGGGGTCTGAGAGCTCTGTTCCAAGATTCGACGACAGAGACAAACCAGCGGCGTGACGAGTGGCATCAAAGGATGGTCAAACCATGGATGGGGGGGGGTAGAAATGTAGTAGTCAAGAAAAAGACAGGATCCCCCCACTAGCTGGCCATAAAACGGGAGCAATCTGCTGGATTGCATAGCAGAAAATGGAACACATAAACCCTAAATGCAATGCCACGTACAGACATTAACAGTCTGTCTCAAGATGCAGTGAAATGGTGTTAATTAGTGTTAAAGCGCCCAACGCCTTTGGCTGTGTTAATATTTTGATGCTTGCTTTCTGTAGGGGGAGGGCTTCCGGAAAAGTCTATAGGGGAAGTCTTCCTGGCAATTAAAAAAAAGGAGGGGGGAATACAGATTTAGTCCCCCTCCCTACATGGTTTTTGCAGCGGGCGGGCTGTGCTTGTTCGCTTCCTTCTTTCCTGGTTCCCAGAGGGGCTTTCCACGCTGGCGGAGAGGCAGGGAAAAAAAAAGGAAAACCCCGGGTGGGGTATAGAGATGAATTTCGGGGTCAAGGGGGGGGAATGGACAGCGGCTAAGCCTTTCTCCGTGTCCTCGTGTTTCCGCACTTCCCCCTTGAGTAGCCCTCTGTGGCCTTCATCTAAAGGTGACATCACTGTCCGCTAGTTGCTTTTCTCCTCTGAAGACAATGTTCCCCCATTCCCGAAGGGCGGACAGGGGGGTGGGAAAGGGGCCCGGAGGAGAATGGCCACAAAAGTTTGCATTGATGGGCCTCAATGTCCCAGCAAGCCCCCGGGAAGCAGAATGAGGCGCCCTGAGAACAGCTGCTGCTGGTCGGCTCGGATTGCTGTCCGATCGTTGCTCTGTCGCACCAAAATGCTCCCTCCGGGATGATCAGTGGGTCTCTCCTGTGAATGTTCGCACAGTTCGTAGCACAGAATAGAAATTCGACGTGTTTAAAAAGTTGAAAACGCCGTGGCCCCTTAAAGGCTAACGTTTACCTCTAATGCTTGCGCAGACTCGCGCGGCCACCCCTTTGACCACCCCATGGCCCCTAAAGGATGGCTGTGTGTGTGTGTGTGTGTGTGGGTGAATTTTATTTTGGTCCATTTTTTACGAAGTTTCAAAATTTGTGTGAATGACTTCCTCCGCAGAATCCAAACTGTGGCTAAGGCCAGAGCATTTATGGCTTTCTCCTGGGGCCCCAGAGTTTTAAAGGCTCTGAAATCTCAAGGCAAACACACTGGTGTATTTTAGGAAAATAAGGTACTGGTCATTTACCAGTAGATGCTAGGAAAAGAAACATATCCCAGTGCTACTTGCTTTCATTAATAATAATAATAACAACAACAACA